AAACACATTTTTGTTCTCAAAGTACAGTGGTTGAAATGGCTTTGGTAATGGCAATACACAGCATCTTAACGATGGTGTAGATAGCTTGTGCATATATACAAATAGGAACAGGTCAAAAAATAGTCAGCTCTCATCCAGTTTAAGTGGACAGATGATAAATAATAAAGTTGTCCTTGAATCAATATTTTGGTATTGATTTACCTTCGAAAATAATGATGAGAATATATTTTTTTTAAATTTTAAAATTTTAAAGTTTTTTCAACTTAAAATGTAACTAAAATTAGCTAAGTCTGTACAAAATAAGCTTGTGTGAGGGACACTTAACTTTATCCACTGCTCCATTTTTTAGTACATAAATTTGTGGGACATGGGTGTCCAAGTGGTCCAAAGCACTCACCTATACTGGTCACTGCCATCTTGTCCACGTCTGCATGGGTTCGAGTACTGGACTTGACCAGTATGAGTATGTGAGAAAGCCTGCCAGTAGATTCCCATGGGTCAATGGTTCCAGTTTTCCATGAGTTCTTCCTGTACCAGTTATACAGTATAGTCATGCTCAAAAAAATAGCATTCATGTTGCAGTAATTGCTTGATGATGGACATGCTACTTTGTACTGTGTAAAATAGTCCCCACATCTAGTTCATATGTGAGACAGGATAGAGGATAATGTACCACTGTTCTTCACATGGAATCATACTTGTTTGAGAAGGTAGAATTATGTATTCCAATTTTTGATAACCCAGCAGACTTCAATCTGTAAATAGTTTATATATATATATATATATATATATATATATATATATATATATATATATATATATATATATATATATAGAAAGACAACTCATGGAATCCAGTAGGAGTGGCTAGCACAAGGCACATTAAAATCTTGTCAGTCAAGGTAGACTGATTGGTTAAAAGTAAAAATTTACAGAGGAGTTTATACCCTACTTTTTTAATGCAACTGTTGTTATTGCCAAGCTAAACCTACTAATCAAAATGCACATAAATTTTCATGCCTTTGAAGTGACCTGTAGAGTATCTATTGTTTGAATGTATTTAGTCTTCAGAATTGTCAAATAATTCTTTTAAAAGAAATTTAACTTGATGTCTTCATTTTCACTGCTGGTCACATTATTATGGAGTTTGAAAAAAGTGGTATATACTCTGTACAGTGATCCCTCACCATAAAGCCCCTGTGGATATTGCTCCCCCTCTTATAACAAGGCTATGATCATGGATTCTGTTATTTTAATTTATTTTGTCGTTGCTACTAAATTGTCTGCTATTTTATATTTGTTTATATTTAATGGTCACCAGTGTTATTTTCATTTTATTTAATTTCAGTAATTTTTATGTTGTGCACAGATATAACGAAATGTTTTACAAATCATGGTATGAAGTATGTCATTTTTATGGCTCTCTAAAACAGTATTATAATGAGGGAACACTTTTACTGTATATACCTGCTTATCAATCTAAATCAACTCTAAACAACATAGACCCTGATCTGTCATCAAATAATGTGATGGTCGATTTGGGTCTGTGCAGTTTTGTTTTGAGTAATTAATAGAACAAGCAATATAGGGCTGATCTGCCAGCAGTTTTATTTTATGGCAGATGAGTGTTGTATGCAGCTAGAATTGGCTTATAAGGAAGTATAATGGTACATTGTGTTTTTTGTTGAAGACCTCATTATTAACTCACCTTCACTGCATTTACAGGAGAGAATGAGTTGATTTCATCGAAACAGATATTTCATTTATTTCCATTTTTTGTTGCATTTTGCACTAGTTAGTAGCAAGACACGGGTAGCATTATTTTTTGATTTTGTGTTCAGATTTTTAAATGTAACATAATATAAATCTTGTCTTGTTCACAACAAAACAAAAAAAGTGATGTTTGCTTCTTTATAAGACCTTGAAATGTCCCCCAGCATGTTTGGTGTAGCTTTTGTGCAAAGAAGTGCATCTTAATTTGTATTGTAAAACTTGAGCGACCTTGTGTAATCATGATTAGTTGTAATAATTTTTGATGACAAATTACTTTTTTTTTGAAGTAGTCACAACTAAATGTAATTATATAATTTTTGTATCCCTTCTGTTTAATAAAATATAGTTTGCGTTACAAGTAATACCTGTAGTAACAAAATGATAACATACACAGTTAAGAATTGTCGATCAAATGGCTTCAGTGTTCTTGTCAAGGGAGGCAACTGAAATTGGGTAAAATTATTAGGCTATATGATAGTTATTTCCTTTAAATGTAAAAATATTTTTTCATCTAATTAATATCACTTTAACCATCCAAGTTATCAGTATTTTAAGTTCTTTGATATTTTAAATAAATGGAATTTAATCAGTAACTTAAAAATTGCACATTTACAGTTTTACACACTATATATTGAACATCATTGACAACTTTCTTTTACAAATGAAAATATGGAGCATTTAGGTGTGATATTAAAACAAAAGTATTTTTGTGTAATTGCATTTATTTTCAATGGGTGTTTTCCATGCAGTTTTCATCCCTCTAGTTTTGAGGAAATAGGTGTTATTCTATGAATATTGAATACACTTTGATGTATACATATTGATAATTCTGTGTTGAACTTGAACTTGTATTAAAGTAATAAAAAATTTGATGATCACACTCAATAAAGTAATTTAATTTAAATAAGCACATGAAATTGTAACTAGAACAAGTAATTGTAACTAACTGAAGGATTGAAATACAAAAGTAATTGAATATTTAAAAGTGATTTGGTGACAGGTGTGAAGTATCTCCCTATAGGCTTTAATGTTATTATAATTTACCAACACTTAATTTTTTGAAAATGTTTCTTACAAAAGTTACACTTACTGTAAATTATTATACTTTAGAACCATTACAGTAATTCAGGAAATAAAGCATGTTTGACACATAATAGGTTTTGCTAATTAAAAATATAACTGTTGTTTGATTATCTTGATTGGCATCTTTCAGAAATTATGGGAATTAATTCATCACACTTTAATTATGATATGTTTTCAGCTCTTGAAAAAATACAGTGTGACTGGAAAAGGTGTGTTGGGGATAGATGTGCACAATACTCTATTGCCATAAATTAGCTTGTCAAGTTTGAGGTTTTAACTGGAAAAGGAATAGGACTAATGCATTAGTGAGAAAAGCAAAGAATGTACACTTAACAGAATCCGGTTTCTTGGAAAGCTGAAGGATAAGAAATTGTTTTTTATTAACTAAACCATACTATTTTCCTTTTAACATTATTGAATATATGTTCAATCAAGGACATATCACTGCCTATGAAATTTAACAATGTAATATATCTGCTATAGTTCATTAAGGTAAGATATTTTTGCATAAAAATATCTTTTTGCAAGTGATGCTTTGGTACGTTTAATGTTTATTGTTGTGCAAATAGGTGTGTGTATGTTTATAACAATACATCTTAATTACTGTGGAAAATAGAGAAGAAACCGTTTTGTCTGCACTCTTCAGATTTGAGGATTGATCTACCGGTAATCAATCGTTTAAATTATATTTTGTGCTATAATTTCTGCAAATACATGTATGAGCGTTGTAAATGAATTTAATGTCTTTTGTGTTGTTGAACATACTTAAGCAGATGGCGAGTCTTGGTATCATTCTTGCAGCAGTGGGTTTTTTTTTTTTTTTTAAATTTTAATGGCATGTCAGGTTCAGAATGGTAACCTTGATGGGTTTGCATGGGAAACATTCTTTTTTTTGGAAACTATATAGTACTGTAGGAAACGTTGACCAATGCTTCTGGAACCAACTTTATTGGGAAGCAAGACATAACAGTAACTCTTTTGACTTATTGTTTTATAATTAATAGTTTTAGTTAAGTTTATTCATTTGTTTATATTACTCTTTATGGATTTTCTTTGTTCTTGGGTTGAATGATTATGAAGCAAAGATAATTATTCCAGTGATATGCTCGCTTCTCATTTTAACTTGGGGATAAGGGTTAAGTGCACAAGAAATTTACATTAAAGTTGTGGGGTTTTAAAAAAAAATAATTTTCATTTCGCTTTTTGAAAACGAAGCTGCTTAATAGACTCTACTCATACTTGGTATGCATCGTTATGATAAGGCAAAATTCATTCTGTGATAAGCTCGCTTGTTGCTATGACCTTGTGTTTAAGTCACAGAAATTTGTATTTATAGTTTGGTTAAATTTGACCGTTTGATTTTATACTCCAAGCCCCTTGTTAGATTATTATTGTTTGGCACGCATCATTATGAAACTGAGGCAATTCATTCTGTGACAAATTTACTATATGGTTATGGTATCATGTGCTTTTATTTCCTAGAGCCATTTATGGATTTTGTATTTGTTGGATGAATGATAATGATGCTTAGATGTTCCATTATGAGATCAACCTTTTGACCTAGGGGTTAATTTGACCTAGGAGTTAATATAACTGGCATCACGGCAGCGTTTTAATCTTGCCCTGTACATGCAGATCTAGGCTATGGTGTTAGCTGTTCTGGTCCAAGACCTAAAGATTGTATTAATTGGTCATATTCCTAAGATATATGAAGGAAAGTGATGAAATTTGGTATGCAGTTGCATTCTGAGGTCTGACTGGTCCTGTATCAATATTATGCATCTTCCTCAATGACTATACTGAAAATCCTACTCTTCTCTTGCTGTTAGATTTATAATGACTTGTATTGACGTGAGTGGGACAGAATTATTTTTTAGGTCTAAAATGAAAATGGCCCGATTTAATGTCCAAAATGGCCACCATCCTAAAATTCTTTTTCATTGTTTGAATTTTTACAATCTTGCTATCACTACTGCTCCAGATCTAAGGTCGTATTGCTGTGGAGTTTGCACTTTTAACAAAAAATATCATGATTTTATATCTAGTTGGTCCTAAAAGTTAAAGATCTTGATCAGAACTCCAAGATGGTTAGCACTGTGATGTTTATTTCTGATTCGAAGGTCTTGAATTTTTTTTCTTCTACCGCTCCTTTGGCCTAGAGGTTAGAGCATCCGCCTCAGATGCGGGAGGTCGTGGGTTAAATCTCCGGCCGAGTCATACCAACGACTTATAAAAATGGTAATAACAGCTGCCTCGCTAGGCACTCAGCATTAAGAGGATAGTGTTACGACTGGTAGGCCTAGTGTCAGGATAATGTGACTGGGTGGGACTTAATGTATCTGTAGCATGATGCCCCAGTGTTACACGTCACCATAAACTGCCACACTGTAGACATCGTAGCGATATGACTGAAGCATTGTTAAAGCTACATTTTTTTATAAAAAAAAAATCCATTTCCAAGTCGAATTATTTTTCATATATATCTGTAATGACTTATGGGATTGGTAACATAAATAAGTCTGAAGTTCCATTTTGTGGACATATCGGTGACTGAAGAATACTAGGAATGCCATTTTAATAATTTGGGCTTTTTTGTAACTGGATTCGAAATGTGGCTATATCCTAACAATCTGATCTTCGATATATGATGTGATGGCCAAGGTCAAACACCATGGTGGTAATTTTTGTAATGTACTTGTGAACGTGCATGAAAGAAAATATATTTGTTACTAAATTTGGCATGTTGAGTTTCTCACAAATATGAGGTGGTCGTAAGACATGCCAGTTAAATGGATCAAGACGAACAAAGAAACTTTGTGAATTCCTGCCAATTATTTTTGGCCGGTAGAGCGTCAATCCCTTACGAGAATTTGTGTTACATAAATAGCAGTAGAATCGAAGCGTGGAAAAAATACGAAGAACCAGTATACATTTGCTGAATTCGTAGAAAAATCTTCCAACTGTTTCCTTCTACATTTCCAACAGTTTTATCGAAGTCGCTTGAAATAGATGAAATTTAATAGACACGTTTTGATTTATACATAGAAGGCACCTATTGAGATTTTCAGACAATTGCAGCATTCTTTTAAATATTTGGATGCCTCTTTTTTTTTTTTTTTTTTTTTTTTTTTAAGCTTTTGGACCTAGCAGCCTTTTGTGACACAATCTTTAAATGCATGATTAAGTAAAAACTTAAGAAGTTAAACGAATGAAATTTGGTATGCATATTCGTATTCGTATTGGGTAGATGACAGGATTATGTACATACTTGCCTTCAAGTTCTCATTTTTTCCCCCCAATATTTTCGTTCTGTTGGTCATAAAATGGCTTGTAGGATGTTCTGTTGCTTCTCATTTGATGATGCTAGACATATAAACTGCAACACTGCAGACATCGTAGCGATATGACTGAAAAATTGTGAAAGCTACGTTAAAAATCCAAATCACACATCCAAGGTTATTTAATTGAAACGGAAGAATGAACAGGTTGACAGTGGCCGCTTCAGTTGGCTTGCTGAAGTTCATTTTATCTTGGAAGGGGGGGTGTTGGATTTTTTGTTTCTTTTTCAGCAAATGCGGTTAAATGATATGAACTAGTTCTCTCCATGGGCGCTCGCATTTAGGGGCAAGGGGTTTTGGCGTACATCCATAAAACTTAAGCTAACCACTAAATATTCCCCCCCCCTTAAAAAAAAATATGCGGTTGCCCCAGACTGTTTCTGAGAGGAAGAGCCCTCCTTTCAATGGACTTTGGTCAATTTTTGGTGACGTTATATGTCATTGAGGACAAGCCGACCCAATCTAGACATCATGAAGTGAAGCATGTTGTTGACGAGTTCAGGTTTGAATCCCTAATATTGTTGGATGAAGATTCTTTGAATTGGTGGAAAGCTCGGCAGTACAAGTTTCCACTCCTTACAGAAGTAGCCATTAATTGATATATATTAGTGCACGTTTTATGCCGTCACAGAGAATCTAAAGTACAGCACATGATATTACTGCACAGAGAACTACATAGTCTATATGTTAACATTCCTGAAGAAAAATGTGTACCGACTAATTCCGTCTTGCTAAATTCAAATAAAAAGATAGCTCAAGCGTATTGACACTTTTAAACCAATGCTCCTGTGAAGTTTAAATTAAAACAGACATGCTAGAAATGGCAGTGATATTTATATTTGCTAACAATTAGACTGCTTTGAGGTGTTTGTAGACTTTCATTTGGTAACATCACTTAGAAATAATATATTTTTCAAGTGAACGTTATGGTGATTATTCTATTGTTTTCATTAAGTGTTACTTTTTTTGTATATGGTTTTGGTGTATCACTTCAAACCCCAGGAAATACTGGGCAGACAGACAAAACTAGGTCACTCGTGTCTGTATTTAATAAACCAAAGACTGTAACAAAGTTTTGTTTCTAGCTCAGTTTCTCTGGCACTATTTCGTGCTTAGTTGTGTAATTTTTGTAAATATTTATTATATGCAAATGCCTCATGAAGCACCTTTGAGACGAAATTATTTCCCTTCGACACATTTCATGCTCCCGGCGTGTATATAAATTACCAAGGTTTAATTGGGCTCATTACACCTTGACAAAAGTGTGCACAAAATAATTGTATTTGAGCTTAATTTGGTGTTTTATTGACCATCACTATGTTATTATGCCCAGAATTAGCGCTGTACCTGTTAATCGTTATGGTAGATTGTCAGAGAAAAGACTGAATAGATTATGATTTCTGCTTTCCATTCTGGTTGTAATTTTGTTCCGCGCCATTCCATTGCACTTAACATTATTTCCGTGAGTGGGTGGGTGGTACTTAAGGCTACTTAAAAATATAGTTTGGGCAATATATTATACAGATTTATTAATTAATTAGTCATTGTTAGGTCAGCGACAACTGAATATCGATCAAAACCTGTTATCCGAGTGAAATCAATTGAATAAGTTAAGAAACTTTAAAGAATATATTCAAGAAAAACCCATAATTGTTCATATTTCAACACGTCATTAAAAGTTATTTACTCGTCCAATTTCACCTAAGGGATATAATTCAAAATATTTTATCTAACCATTGTCGATGTCTTAGACCCGTTTTTCGGCAATAACTTGTAATCTGTTAGAAAAATAGCTAACAAATGTCTGGGATTTTTTTTTCGGGTCGATTAGCAACAAATTCTCAAAGTCTCGTCTTGATAAACCGTACAAAATAGCTCACGAGATTATTTTCTTCTTGAAAACATTATGAAAAGAAGCATTGCGACTATATGGTCTTAAAATAAGTAATAGAAAAGAATGAGATGCAACAAGCTTGTTAAAATTCAATAAATAATTTATTACATTTGAATTTAAGGTGGAAATGTAAAAATAAGAAAGTTACGATATTGCAAATTAAATTCCAAAATCATAGAATTACAGACACAAGATAAACTTAAATCCTATAGTGGTCCGTGTAGTGGTAATTTGCCAACTGTCCTTTGTTGGGTTACAATTATACAATCTAAGAATATATCCTTTTTGAAATTTCATTATAAATTAAAGTTTCTATTTTCAGGAATGATACTTTTGAAGAGTACTTTGCATTTCCAGTGAATAAATTATTTGAATAAATTCCAGCCCAAATGAATTACAAGACAACAATTATACAGTTGATTCTGCTTAAATCTTAAAGCCTGAATAAAAATTTTTTCTGGTAACAAAATTATACGGTCTTCTACCTGACCGTAAGTCACACTTAGCATTTTATGAAAGAGAATCAAACAAAAAAATCAAAGTATCATCTAATGGAAAATTTCATGTTGTAAGGTTCCACATGTTTACAAAAAAAAAAAAATAATCTTAGTTATCATTAGAAGTCTGTTACCAAAATTATAATATAAACTGTCGTAAATGACCGGTAAACCTTGGGCAGTTAATGGGAATTTCCAAATTTCCTGACTCGTATTGAGATAAACACGTTTTCGAAACCAAACTCAGTGGTTCAGGTCAGGTAGAAAAATTAATTTGATTTTGAACAAGGTCAAGTCCAGCATACATACAATGTTACATTATCAATAGCATGCAATGAAATTTTTAAAAATAAGAAAATTAATAAAAACAAATATTCATATCAGAGTCAACGGTTTTTATAAGAGCCAGACAAGCACACGTGTACTGAAATTGCACTGGAAGCATGGAATAGTCTTAAGTATTAGTTACAATTCATTACATCAACGATTTCACGTCAATATCATCTTCAGCTTGTACAATTGCTACGCTGGCTGCTGAAGTATTATTTCAGCAATAGCGAAACAGTATTCCTCGTTGCTTATTAAACAATGCCTTCAGTTTTTTACGCATAATATGGAAGGGGGAAATAAAACATCCTTTTAGTATGTTTTAGCTGCGGAAATATTGTGAGATGTTTAACATTAGTCTTTCTAAATTAGATTTTATCAATTAATGCCTCAGAGTTTTCCTATTGAATTGTATAAAATGACTCGGCTAACTACGAACCAGTTTCATTAAGATGTATATGATGCAAAATCGTAGAACACATATTAGTATCAAAACGTAATAAAAATACCATATGAAACTAAAGTGATACAGTTTGCTATAAACTGGCGACAAATCTCTCACAAGTCTCCGGACACCCACTGAACTCCCGACTAAAAAAACCCGACAGAAACACACACACACACACACACACACACACACACACACACACGTACAGCCACTTGAAATTTGACCATCATTGTATTCTTTCGTACATTTATTGGGTATTACGAGCACTTCAAGTAAATAGACACATAGACCAGACTGACTTGATAAGGCTCTGTTGTCCATCTGCTCTTAAACATCTGCACTACTTGTAAAGGCAATCATTGTTTATGTCATTAGACAGTGACATATTTCGTACTATAAGAATACTGAAATGGAAGTTCCTTTTTCTAAGAACACCAGGTGACAGTATGATTGCCAGTCACTCTCACATGCTCTTAATTGTTATTTCTACTGATGAAAATGTTAGAATCTTTTCATCCGGTTTCTATAAGAGATTTGTAGATTTAATTTCGCCCACATCCACTGTTCTTACAAAAGCACGTGTGTGTTAGTTACGTTTATTACTTAGTACAGTGTAGTAAGTAATTAAATTTCGCTTGATCCATTTGTCACGCTTTGTACTCTGGTATGAGGTTAATTGATACAAGCAAGCACGCACGTATCTGCAAAATTAA